CCCACTCCCTTCCTCCCTCCCTCTCTCCCTTCTTTCGCATTCTCCCTCTTCCACTCTCGCTTCCTCGCTCCCTCCTTCCAACACCTCCAACTTCTCTCCGCCTCTTGTTCACACGCTTCTTCTTTTTCCTTCAAGACTCTTTCGTCATTCCTTTCACAAAAATCTCTTCCTCGTTTGCCACCTTTACTTCCCTTCCCCATTCCGCCCCCCGCCCCCCCCCCCCCCCGCCCCGCCCCCTCCCTTTGCCCTTAGTTTTTCTCCTTTCTATGTCTTCGGAAACATCCCTCTCCCCTTCCCGCCTTCAAATACTTCTGAATGACAAGGTCCCCCTTCCGTCCCTCCTTCCCCTCTTGCTTTCCTCTTCTCTCGCTCCTTCTCCTCTGGCGCTTTGCGCTTCTTGGAATGCCGCAGCTGTAGTTGGTCTTGTTACTGTTATTGTTGTTGTCGTTGTTTTTTGTTGTTTTTATTGTTATTGTTTCTGTTTCCCGCCACTTCTACTTAATCGTATTCTTATTCTTATTCTCTTTTTTCCTTCTTTTCCTTCTATTTCTTCTTCTGCTTCTTCTTTATCCTCTTCTCATACCTCTTCTTCCTCTCTTCACCGTCAGCATCCCTACTCCCCCCCCCCATTATACCCCTCCCTCGCCCCGCCCTCCGCCCGCCCCCAAGAGCACCTCCGCCGCCCGTCCGCCGCCCTTTCTCCTCGCGCCCGCAGGACATCCGGGTCATGTCATCGGACTTGAACATAATAATAACCACAACAATAATAGTAGTATAAATAATATCAACAACAATAACCATGATAAGAGAACGAATAACAACTTCCTCAACACCACTGTTATTCCCGTCATTCGCCCCACGAATAACATCGCCACCGAGTGGAGGGGGGGGCGTCCCGCGGCGAGCAGACGCGGGGCGCCGTCTGCTCGCGTGACTCTACAAGGCCGTGCAGCCGCCAAGGAAGGCTGTCGAGATGTTATCCAGAGTGTCAAATAGACGTGCTAGTTCAGTAGTACAAATACAGTCCAACCATACGCCCAATATCCATCTGGCAGGAGGAAAACCAAGACTTTTATGTCAGGGGAACAACCCAAGCATATGTGCTAGGGGAACACCTAGAAACGGATGGCAGGGGAGCAACTATTACAGTATCTGGCAGAGGAACAACCATCAACATGTCTAGTAGGGAAGCAATCCAATATCTGGAAGGGGATAAACCAACATAACGTCTGGCAGGGAAGCAACCAACACAATGCCTGGTAAGGAAAACAACCCGGGCATGTCTGGCAGGGAAACAACCACGACCCCCTGGCAGAAAGAAACCAAGGTGTTCTTGCAGGACACCCAAGCCAATCTGGACGGGGGATGGCCATGCCCCACCTAGCAGGGGACATCCAGAAATAATATCCTATTCTTGGCAGCAATCTCAAGAATTCTGAAATGTCTTCATGCATGTGCAGACTAAACCACTAATCATTCCCTTGTATCTCCTCCTCACTTGTTGTTTTTTTTCTTAAATAAATGAAATTAACGTATTTAAACAATAGAAATTTGAATCCCATTTCATATTCATAAGCAAGATATGTACCAATCATTTTCTTCTAATCACTGAATCTTATTCTGTGTTAACATAAAAATAAATCATAAATCAGGAAAATGGTAAACAATAAAACATTTTCATAAAGATATATTACTACACTAGAAAAAAATCTTTACTTCCCAGATTTTCAAGCATCTTATGCAAAAAGCATTTACCTTAACCCCTAAAAGGCACATCCCCTCCATATGGGTATGTTTAGACAGAACCCAATCTATACCAATGTTATACAAGATGCCTGTAAATTATTGAGATGTTTTCGAGGCTCATGATATAGATTTTGATCAGAAGATCCCAAAAATACAACTCATTTTTGTGTAATCTCAATATCAAAACAGTAGTGATTGTTCAGCGCACTGATCCTCCTTTTCTGCATTGTAACATAGAACTAAATCTTAACATCTAAATGACTGAAACTGCTCTCACCCAACATGGACACATCACAAGAAGGCTAAAGTAAGCTTTGTAATAGATAACAAAATAAATCTGATGATGAAGTCCTTGCGAACTTTAATATAGTCACTCAGATTCAAACACTTGCTTGTTCTCCAGTTCTTAATTAGACAAAAAATTAAAGCAAATGAAACAAATAGACAAAAAAAAATATATATATATAAGCATAATTAGGTAAAAAAGGTAATCAATCATCTAAATAAAATTATACAATATTAAGAATAAACAAAAAAGTCTAATTGCCTCTTATATGTGAATTTTGTCACAGATGGTTCCACAAATGCTCAGTCATTAAGCAGTTAATTAGTAGCTCTACCTCACCTGATTTCCCCATTCAGTTTTTTTATGCTATCATCCTATATATTATCATCACAGATATTATGCTACCAAAATATTAAGAGCAATATCTTTTTTTATCTTTCTGAAAATTAAGGGAAAGGGTAAACAGGAAAATTAAGTAGGACAACTAATTGATTCCCTGCCAACTAAATACAGTTGGAAGTGTAAACACAATCAATAAGCTATGAAGAAAAAGGAGAAGAGACACCCTGAACACTTGATTCGCTCAATAAACATTGCAATGATGAGGGACCAGAAGTGAGTATCCCAAGTTCATTTTCTGTGACCTTCACCCTCACATAAAGTGGGATCGTGCCTAGCTTTTGCTGCACATGAAATAAAAGTTGAGATAAACCTATATTATGAAACATGGATAAAAACTTGTAACTTCAACATACTCAATACACTACACTAACGTCAAAATGTTTTCTTATAAGAACTGATCCAATACTAGATCTTGGCCTCTTTGTTATGCAACTGAACTCTTGAACTGCAAAAACCTGCAATCTACTTTCTCCCAAAAATCATCCAACCGTAGCTCATGACACTGTAATTCTAGAGAAATAAAAGTGGTATTCCAAATGAAATTATGGGAATTAAATAATTTTGTATTAGAAAACCTCTGTTTATCTGAAGAAAGTGGTAATTTAAACATAGACAGTCACTACACGTTCTGCTACCCTTTTCAATATTTAATAAAGTAACACATGCTAAAGGTCATTTTTTCAAATTCTGTGCATTTGAAATAGCTTATCATTCTATTGACATTATTAAAACTTAAAACTCCACATACCCTAAAACCTCAGAATATCATCACAGAATTCCAATAACAAAAGGCATGCTTGCCAAAAGAAACACTACTGCCACCCTACAAACCACTATTTCAGTGTTCTTCACAACTTTACACGTTTTATGTTGACTACCCTACAGCAAAGGCTTTAATCAACATAGCATCATTTAAACAGATCAAGCAAAGTACAATACACAAATTTTTAATTCCTTAGTTTGATAATTTGTCTAAGAGATCATATTGTCACAATGCTCTACTTGAAACTGCTATTCAAACAGGAGTTATACCTAAAGAGAACTATAAACAGAGTAACTGTTAAGCATTACAGTGAGCAACTGCCTTGAATACAATGGGCGGGGGCATTACTGTACATCAACATCATAGTCATAAACATAAAATTTCAGTTAATTCCAGATTCATGAAAATAGCCTGCTCACTTGTTCAGCACTCATGGGATTAAAATCTCATTCTAGCTTCAGTTCTTAAGAAATTGGGTATGCTTCAGCCAAAAACCTAGAGGGCAAAGTAAATATATGTTTGAACCGTATTCATGTTGACAAATGTTGAAACTGTAAATTACCTTAGCAGTGAGGTGAAAAGCCTTGCACATATAAGAGAGACAGAGCTTAACCAACATAATTTTCATCCTTTTTCTTCTTCTTTTTCTTTTGTTACATAGGTCTTTATATATCAACCCCTTGCCGACAGGCATGGCATGTACGTACATGTCATGCCCATTGTGAGTTTACTTGTTTAATTGTTTTTACACAAACATGGCTACACTTGTACTAAATCACCAATGAGCCAGTTACAATTACCGCCTGTCTCGCCCATTAACCCTTTTCAAAGATTTACAAAAATATTTAACTTTATCTCATTTTGCTGTTACATATGTTTATAACATTTTAGTAATTATAATGTTTATAATAAAAATAACACCATCTACATCTATAGCACTAGTAAAAATACATTTTTTGTGCCAATTCAAGGAAAGGTGAAATCTCTTTATTGCTAAGCACTAGCAGAGCCATCTAGTAACAGGGAAATTTCACAAAAATATAAAAAATGAGCAAAGAATTTCCCCCATTTTTTATTCATTTTCCCCGTCGGGAAAGGGTTAACTACAACATTACAGCTGGCAATTTAACATTTGTAATACTTTCACTTCAGCTGGGCCAAAAAAAATCTCAGGGTTCTTATTGGATCCAGAGGGAATGGATGACCCAACATCTATAAAGAAGAAAACAAAAAAAGAAAGCTTTTCAATGGTAGTTTCCCCGACCCCCCTGCTAATATTGCAACCACTACGTCTAAGCACAAAGGGCAATGACAAGTGCAGAAAGCACCATGAAGGGAACATCAGAATCATTCTACCACAAGATGAACCGTGTTCATGGCAACAAATGTAGAAAAGGTATAGTGAGGATGAATAGAGATGTATTTGACTGGTTTTAATCATATCTTTGTCAGAATATATCTCATTCACATTTTTTTTACAAGTGTCAAAAGGATTAACAAATGAGAAACAAGCAAAGCATCTGGCACATATCTATCTACAAACTACAAATCAATCAGCAAAGGTAACTTTTTTATTCATGTTTAAATAATATGTATGGTCCAAGTCTTATGCTCAATCCTTCCTCACTCTGTCCATGTCCCTGTGTGTCTGTGTATTTTCTTCCCTTTCCTTAATTTGGTTAAGAAAATAATTTTGTAGTGTAACTGTAGTTCTAATATTTAGGAGGCAATAATTTTAAAACACCATTTTTGTAACTCACCTCATGTACGAAACACCTTCAACACCTTCAGTGTGAAAGTCAAGTATTCACAAACATACATGAATTACAATCCCAGACAGTAGTTCCCAGAGCCACATACCTGCAACATACAGCCCAAGCCAGTCAGCCGGAGAGACCTGGTCCTGCGGCAGTTTCCACTTGACGGTGACATTCTCACAGGGCCCCGCTCCTATGCAGGTGCGACTGAGAGTGAGGCAGCATGACGGAGTTTGCGGCGAGGGGGCGCTGGCAGCAGGCTCGGGAGCGGACGAGGTTTCGGGGCAGCGAGACATCGTTGCCCTTCCCCCCGTGGTGCTGCCACTACCGCCCCCCGTAATGCCATCTAGTCCATCTACAAAGATAAGGAAATGATATTCTATCAATCTTATCTTTGTTGTCAGGAAAATGACACCTTAAACGTTTAAGTGGTCAGATTAGACAGCAGTAGAAGTAAATATGAGATTGATTATTTATTCTTTAATACTGAAAAAAGGGAATATGGATATCACATAACTCTGATATCAATATCAGTAATGCCAAGAGGAGAACCTAATAATACTAGCAATAATAGCAGAGGCAGATAAACATTCAATGCAAAAAGCAGCAACTGAGCATTCAAACCTTACTGTGCCAAGTGTTCGTGCTGTGAGGAGGGTCATGACTTCCGGATTCCTGGGAAGCATCAGCAAGCATGGTCCCAAAGCTGAGTTCCTTGCATCCTCTGCTTCACATTCATTATCTCCGGTAAT